TAGAAGATAATTGTCAAATAACATGAATAATAAGGCATGGGAAAATACTATATAATAATATTCCTGACCTTTAAATTTGTGAATGTTCTTTCCACTTTCTATATCAAACAAATGAATACAGTCATTTTCGGTGCTAAATGCAAGTAATTTACCATTAGGGCTCTTGTGAACGGGGATATTGTTTAAGAATTCAATTATTCATTTTTAATTTTCAAAAAATAAAAATTTTTTAAAAAAAAAATTGATATAATAAATAGGATACAAAACGCGTACAAAATGCAAATTTCCCTTCTCCAGATGAATAAGATTGGACTATACTCGAAGGCGTTGTCGTAATGTCCCAAAGATCTACCTTTCCCTTTTGAGAGCTGGTAGCAAAATAACGTACCTCAGGTGATGATGGAGAGAATTGACAACTCCACGCATCACCTAAATTTTATTATTAATCTTCACGCGAATTATACTAAAATTCTGTGATAATGTTATGACTCACCAGGTTTGACTTGTATCGTTTCAAGATGAATTCCATCATTTACTGACCACCTTCTAATTGTATTATCTAATGATACGGACACAATCACTGTGTAATGGGATAATTGTCATATGAGAAAGGTTTCATCTAAATTAATGACGATTTAATGTCAATGAATTTAATACGCACTTTCTCCTAGAGGATCAATGTCTAGTGATATGATTCCTAGATTATGTCCCTGAATGGTACGGTAAAAGTCTCCAGTTTCTGCATCCCTTTTAAATTATTAAATATTAGCTCGGTTTATTTTATGAAAATGGTGGATTTTTACAAATTGTAGTGTATTATCATGCATACCAAACTTTTATAGTTTTGTCTAATGATCCTGTAACAACTACGTTACCATGCGGAGACCACCTAGCTGACCAAATTCCACTAGAATGTGCTATTTGCATTTATAAAGAACTTAGTGAGGGTGATTCGAATTCTGCTACTAATTTATTTAATAAAATTTCCGAAAGTCTACCGTTTTGTTGTTCTATATGGGATGTATATTGAACGTTCTGTAAAAAAGAAACGTCATTTTCAATAATTTGGAATACAAAGCATTACCAT